CGTGTTGGCATTAAGACGTATGACATCACCACGTGTTGGCGTTAGGAAATTTGACATTACCACGTTTTGTCGTTCAGAATTATAACATTACCACGTGTTGTCGTTTAGAGATGTCACATTACCACGTGTTGTCGTTAAGGAATAACACATCACCGCGTATTGTCGAAAAGAAATGTGACATTACCACGTGTTGTCGTTAAGAAATAACACATCACCGCGTATTGTCGCAAAGAAATTTGACATTACCACGTGTTGTCGTTAAGAAATAACACATCACCGCGTATTGTCGCAAAGAAATTTGACATTACCACGTGTTGTCGTTAAGAAATAACACATCACCGCGTATTGTCGCAAAGAAATGTGACATTACCACGTGTTGTCGTTAAGAAATAACACATCACCGCGTATTGTCGCAAAGAAATGTGACATTACCACGTGTTGTCGTTAAGAATTATAGCATTATCAAGTGTTGTCGTTAATAGATGTGACATTACCACGTGTTGTCGTTTAGAGATGTTACATCACCACGTGTTGTCGTTTAGAGATGTGACATTACCACGTGTTGTCGTTTAGAGATGTGACATTACCACGTGTTGGCTTTAAAAAGAATTATGACATTGCCATGTTACGCTGGCGTTAAGAAGTGCCCTCTACTTACTGACTACACCGAGTGGTGGAGCGCCCCAAGGTACGGATTACACCGGTTTGAGAAGCGCTCTCTACTTACTGACTACACCGAGTGGTGGAGCGCCCCCTATATACTGACTACAACGAGTGAAGAAGCGCCCTCTACTTACTGACTACACCGAGTGGTGAAGGAACCCCTACAATACTGCTACTCGAATGTTGCAGCCGTTTGGGGTTCGCGGTATTATATCGTTGCTGCAAGGAATGCGTCACCTACGTCATAGTTTCACATAATGGTAGAGCGCCCCCTACACTTTGTGCACTGTTAGAGGGGCGTAAATCAAATATCTTCATTAGCTGTTTAATTACTTGTTGTGTAAGATACTAAAACAGACAAGTTCATATCTAGTTATAGCACTCATCACTCTAGACGAGGTAGGGAGGGGTACATAGATTCTCGTAAATTTCTCGTTTAGGTGAACATGAAGAAGTCGTGTAGGCAAATGAAATGCATGTACATGTCCCTCACGCATCGTACCTAATCTTTAAATAGGCCTACCTCACTACATTGATACACACGCCCTCATTACGCCTGTTACACTTTGTTCGTAATTTGTCGTCACGTGAACAACATTTTACGGGGATTTCCTTTACAGAGATTCAATGGTTAACATCACAACTCGGCGTGAAATATAATCTGGTTCTAATCATGTGTGGGGTCTCAGCCGGCAAAATTTCTAAAATTTTCCTTTTAACTAAAATATATGGCATCCTTGCATCACTTTGTCTGGTACTTTTCTAACACAGGTTTATTGGGAGTGATGTTTACTGTCCCGGGGTGGAGAACAGAATGTAACTGTGTGTACACGTGTGATGGTAACAACGTATGAAAGGTATGGTATCCATAACAGTTAAATATTGTAGATGCTTCTCTAACTATGACACGTATTGGCAGAATTAATATGTATATACACACCCCAGCAAACATTTATCCGTTGTGTACACTCTTTGTATAAATGCAGACTTCATTTTTTCGTGGTATTTCTCAATTTGCATTTGTCTTCACCCGAGTTTGACGGAATGACATGAGGATCGGGTAAATACTACTTATTATTCACCAGAAAGATATTAATGATGTGTGAACTCAAAGGACTACAACCTAACTAGACCTGATTATTAAAAAACATACGATAAATACACTATTATGGTGTCGTGGTTTACAGATCACAATGGCTGCATGTTTACAGCAAAATTCCCTTTGATCAACACCTGACATAGTTCCAGACTGTTGTAGTACAATAGAAATTGTACGACACCCTTCATCAACACCTGACATAATACCTGACTGTGGTGGTACAGTATAAATTGTACGACAACCTTCATCAACACCTGACAGTTCCTGACTGTGGTGGTACAGTAGAAATTGTACGACAGCCTTCATCAACACCTGACAGTTCCTGACTATGGTGGTACAGTAGAAATTGTACGACAGCCTTCATCAACACCTGACATAGTTTCTGACTGTGGTGGTACAGTAGAAATTGTACGACAACCTTCATCAACACCTGACAGTTCTGACTGTGGTGGTACAGTAGAAATTGTACGAAAGCCTTCATCTACACCTGACATAGTTCCTGACTGTGGTGGTACAGTAGAAATTGTACGACACCCTTCATCAACACCTGACAGTTCCTGACTGTGGTGGTACAGTAGAAATTGTACGACAGCCTTCATCAACACCTGACATAGTTCCTGACTGTGGCGGTACAGTAGAAATTGTACGACACCCTTCATCAACACCTGACAGTTCCTGACTGTGGTGGTACAGTAGAAATTGTACGACAGCCTTCATCAACACCTGACAGTTCCTGACTATGGTGGTACAGTAGAAATTGTACGACACCCTTCATCAACACTTGACATAATCCCTGACTGTGGTGGTACAGTAGAAATTGTAAGACAACCTTCATCAACACTTGACATAATCCCTGACTGTGTTGGTACAGTAGAAATTGTACGACACCCTTCATCAACACTTGACATAGATCCTGACTGTTGTAGTAGAATAGATTTCTTCTAAATTATTATAATTCCTGTAGTACGTGTACGGATATAGTCTGGTACAGGTCGGAATATTTATAAAAAGGTATAAAAACCTTAGCTTTACCCTATCTAATGGGTCTAAGAATTAAATGGTTGAGAGTAAGGATCTTGAGATTTGATTTAAGAATTTGGAGTTTATACTTCACAAAAAAGAAAGATTTAGATAATTAATAAAAAATAATCCTTCTCCGTTTCAATTCATCGTTTTGACGCCGAGGTTTTTTTTTAAGCCGTTGGACAGACATTTCTATAGTCGACTCACGGTATTCAAAATGATTGTCTTCTTAAAGTTTTATTAGGAATGTTTTAATTATCCGTGTGTCTCAGCCTTGCTGACGTCGTCATGTCCGTGTGTCTCAATACTGCTGACGTCGTCATTGTCCGTGTGTCTCAATCCTGCTGACATCGGCAGGTCCGTGTGTCTCAATCCTACTGACGTCGTCATTGGCCGTGTGTATCAATCCTGCTGACGTCGTCATTGGCCGTGTGTCTCAATCCTGCTGATGTCGTCATTGTCCGTGTGTCTCAATCCTGCTGATGTCGTTATTGTCCGTGTGTCTCAATCCTGCTGACGTCGTCGTTAATGGTGTGTCTTAGTCCTGCTGACGTCGTCATTAATGGTGGGTCTTAGTCCTGTTGACGTCGTCATTGGTCATGTGTCTTAGTCCTACTGACGTCGTCATTGCCCGTGTGTCTCAATCCTGCTGACGTCGTCATTGTCCGTGTGTCTCAGTCCTGCTGACGTCGTCATTGTCCGTGTGTCTTAGTCCTGTTTTCGTCGTCATTGGTTTTGTGTCTTAGTCCTGTTGACATCGTCATTGGTCATGTGTCTTAGTCCTGCTGACGTCGTCATTGCCCGTGTGTCTCAATCTTGCTGACGTCGTCATTGCCCGTGTGTCTTAATCCTGCTGACGTTGTTATTGTCCGTGGGTCTCAATCATCGTCATTGGTCATGTGTCTCAGTCTTGCTGACGTCGTCATTGTCCGTGTGTCTTAATCCTGCTGACGTTGTTATTGTCCGTGTGTCTCAATCCTGCTGACATCGTCATTGGTCATGTGTCTCAGTCTTGCTGACGTCGTCAGTGTCCGTGTGTCTCAATCTTGCTGACGTCGTCATTGCCCGTCCTGACGTTGTGTCCGTGGGTCTCAATCATCCATGTGTCTCAGTCTTGACGTCGTCATTGTTGTCTTAATCCTTGTTGTTATTGTCCGTGTGTCTCAATCCTGCTGACATCGTCATTGGTCATGTGTCTCAGTCTTGCTGACGTCGTCATTGTCCGTGTGTCTCAATCCTGCTGACGTCGTCGTTAATTGTGTGTCTTAGTCCTGCTGACGTCGTCATTGTCCGTGTGTCTCAATCCTGCTGACGTAGTCGTTAATGGTGTGTCTTAGTCCTGCTGACGTCGTCATTGTCCGTTTATCTATTTTATTTATATTTACTTATATAATTTACCGGAGTCTGTAGTTACGTCTACTTCTTCCTGCTACTGAAAGATTGTGTAAGCACTATCACAAAGTATGCAGCCTCCCGAAAACTCTCTTTAAGTTCCATATGCCAAAGTCCTATTGAGGTCCTTGTGACCAAGGCATACTCTAGTCCTGAAGTTCCACATGCCCAAGTCCTATCGAGGTCCTTATGACCAAGGCATACTCTAGTCCTGAAGTTCCACATGCCCAAGTCCTATCGAGGTCCTTATGACCAAGGCATACTCTAGTCCTGAAGTTCCACATGCACAAGTCCTATCGAGGTCCTTATGACCAAGGCATATACTAGTCCTGAAGTTCCACATGCTCAAGTCCTATCAAAGTCCTTATGACCAAGGCATACTTCATATTGAGGTCCTTGTGACTAAGTCCTACCCAAGTCCTATATTCAAGTACATGTAAGGATGTCGGCGACATTTTCTGTAGTTTGGCGTGTAAACCTCGTTAGAATCTTTGCACAGAATATCATTACTATGATAGAAGACACATTTCGGAACGATATTGGTGGTACACGAGGAATCTACATGATCTAAAAGGAAACCCGTTAAATGACCACTTCGTTTCATAACCAAATTTAATTGTGATTAAATGGATTTTGCAGGGCTGAACTTCCTGGCTGTATTTCGTCAAAGTTTTCTCGGGCATTTCAATTGACTGAAGTTGAAGTTTTTACAATCTTGTTGAAGTTCTGATCGCGAAATCTGCAGCTCATCAGACAATACTGATTGGTACAACACCGGAAATTATGTATTGTAATTAAGAAATCTGCAGAGAAAACAGAGACAATGGTAACAGTATATGGTGTAAAACGACTTTGGTTGTCTACCTTTAGGACAACAGCGGACAACTATTTGTGTGTCATTAGGACTACAGAGGACAACTATTTGTCTAACATTAGGGCTACAGAGGACAACTATTTGTCTAACATTAGGGCTACAGAGGACAACTATTTGTCTAACATTAGGGCTACAGAGGACAACTATTTGTCTAATATTAGGGCTACAGAGGACAACTATTTGTCTAATATTAGGGCTACAGAGGACAACTATTTGTCTAACATTAGGGCTACAGAGGACAACTATTTGTCTAACATTAAGACTACAGAGGACAACTATTTGTCTAATATTAGGGCTACAGAGGACAACTATTTGTCTAACATTAGGACTACAGAGGACAACTATTTGTCTAACATTAGGACTACAGAGGACAACTATTTGTCTAACATTAGGACTACAGAGGACAACTATTTGTCTAACATTAGGGCTACAGAGGACAACTATTTGTCTAACATTAGGGCTACAGAGTACAACTATTTGTCTAATATTAGGGCTACAGAGGACAACTATTTGTCTAACATTAAGACTACAGAGGACAACTATTTGTCTAATATTAGGGCTACAGAGGACAACTATTTGTCTAACATTAGGACTACAGAGGACAACTATTTGTCTAATATTAGGACTACAGAGGACAACTATTTGTCTAATATTAGGACTACAGAGGACAACTATTTGTCTAACATTAAGACTACAGAGGACAACTATTTGTCTAATATTAGGGCTACAGAGGACAACTATTTGTCTAACATTAGGGCTACAGATGACAACTATTTGTCTAACATTAAGACTACAGAGTACAACTATTTGTCTAACATTAGGACTACAGAGGACAACTATTTGTCTAACATTAGGACTACAGAGGACAACTATTTGTCTGACTACAGAGGACAACTATTTGTCTAACATTAGGACTACAGAGGACAACTATTTGTCTAAAATTAGGGCTACAGGGGACAACTACACACCCTCGGGGTATCAACATTGAAAGAAAATCGGTTGGAAAATCTTCCAAGGACTGTTTCCTATTGACTGTCATTATGTAAGTTTACAGTTGGATTACACAACTGTCGACTAGTCGACTAATCCTGAGGAAGTATTACCTAATGATTCCCTGAAAATATTCTTCTTTTGATTGCGTATATTATGAACAAATCATTGGTCAAGTATTGGACTTCGTTGTTTTAAAAGAAAGCTAATCTGATATCTTATTTAATAAAGCTTTGACTAGACAATTATGAGTTACAGAACTAAGCCTGTTTTATTTAGGATGTCTTGGACACTCTCAACATAGTTAACACTAAAAAGATACAACAGTGGATGAAAAGGAGCCACGACACTTTCAACACGGAGATCTTCGGAATCGAGTTTGGACACTTTCAACACGGAGATCTTCGGAATCGAGTTTGGACACTTTAAACACGGAGATCTTCGGAATCGAGTTTGGACACTTTCAACACGGAGATCTTCGGAATCGAGTCTGGACACTCTCAACATGGAAATCTTTGAAAAGGTACAACACTGAATTTCCGGAAACGAGTCTGGACACTCTAAACATGGAGATCTTTGAAAAGGTACAACACTGAATTTCCGGAAACGAGCCTGGACACTCTATACATAGAGATCTTTGAAAAAAGGTACAACACTGAATTTCCGGAAACGAGTCTGGACACTCTCAAAACGGAGATCTTTGAAAAGGTACAACAATGAATGTTCCGGAACTGAGCCTGGACACTCTCGATGTAATTAGTCTGCTACCAACTGATGTAAGTATTAAGTCATGATATAAACATCATTTTAATGAATGACCTTGATGGAAAAAAACTCATCTGATATTCCTCCGTCCAATGTATGTACCTCCTAAAATCACAATTGTGTACTTTGACGAGTAGAATACGATATGTAAATATGTATAACCTATGGTTTGAACATTTTGCGGCTGGAATCCCGCATCTACTCCGGACTTCCCGATTCTACTGTAAGCAGACTCCGGACCTCCAGCATCTACTGTAAGCAGACTCCGGACCTCCCGCATTTACTGTAAGCAGACTCCGGACCTCCCACACCTACTGTAAGCAGACTCCGGATCTCCCGATTCTACTGTAAGCAGACTCCGGACCTTCCGATTCTACTGTAAGCAGACTCCGGACCTCCCGCACCTACTGTAAGCAGACTCCGGACCTCCAGATTCTACTGTAAGCATACTCCGGACCTCCCGCACCTACTGTAAGCATACTCCGGACCTCCCACACCTACTGTAAGCATACTCCGGACCTCCCACACCTACTGTAAGCATACTCCGGACCTCCCACACCTACTGTAAGCATACTCCGGACCTCCCGATTCTACTGTAAGCATACTCCGGACCTCCCACACCTACTATAAGCATACTCCGGACCTCCCGCATCTACTGTAAGCAGACTCCGGACCTCCCGCATCTACTGTAAGCAGACTCCGGACCTCCCGCATCTACTGTAAGCATACTCCGGACCTCCCGCATCTACTGTAAGCAGACTCCGGACCTCCCGCATGATGTCCAATGAGATAAACACCACTCATTACACGGAAACCTTAACACGCCGATAAACCCAGCAAACTAACAATACGAAGACAAATGATGTTGTTTACATTTCAAAGTATTAAATTACGATATAGCGACGAATGAGTATGCATTGTGTGTTTTGTATATTAGCCATTATGTCGGCTGTCCGTACTGGTTCTGTGCTAATGTTTCAATGATTTTGTAATATCAATGCCCTCGTACATAAAATTAATCATGATAAGGGATATGGATGTTTATGTCCAACATGTGTCTCTCGTTTTGGGTGAGAGTTTACAGTCTTCATTCGTCTATATTAGATCAAAGTGGATTCCATACATATGTTACATACGTAATTAATACAATCAAGAATACATTTTCCTCATACGCAACAAACGAAGCGAAAAACAATCTTTGTCAAACATGGAAACAACTAACAATAATCAATAGGAAATATTTATTTATAGACAGGGACAAAGGAAGTTCAAAAATACGTTTTATGAATATTGCCTGTTAAGTGTAACGCCCGGAGGTCGCCAGTTTTCACCTATGAGTGGGATGTGTAAATTGGGACATCACTGGTAATCAAGATGTGTAAAGTGGGACATCTATAGTGATCAAGGTGTGTAAAGTGAGACATCAGTGGTAATCAAGGTGTGTAAAATGGGACATCACTGGTAATCAAGATATGTAAGGTGGGACATCTATAGTGATCAAGGTGTGTAAAGTGGGACATCTCTGGTGATCCAGGTGTGTAAAGTGGGACATCTCTGGTGATTAAGATGTGTAAAATGGGACATCTCTGGTGATCAAGTTGTGTAAAGTGGGACATCTCTGGTAATCATGGTGTGTAAAGTGGGACATCTCTCATGTGTGGTGGTTTAAACAAATCATCAGTACTTTCACCCAAAAATCGGCTTTTATTTAAAAAAATGGATGAAGTTGAATAGGTCGACAGCTTGGGTGGTTTGTCTGTCAGTGTGAAGGAAACACAAAATGACAACGGCACGATCAGATCGGCTACAGGAACAAGTTTCATGACATACATAATATATAATCATGTCGACAGAATTTAAAATTGGCATGTATCATCGGTACGAAAACCAGGTGTCGATTTCATGTGATGCGGCGGTGGGGATAGGAGAGGGGGCAATCGTACAGATTAGAAGGAAGGGGCGACCAGCGGGCAGCTCTGATAAAACAGTGTAAGTATTTATGCTTACAAATTGCGTTTCATATTCAGAACACAATTTTTATCTTATCAGAACCAACACTACCGCTATAATGCTATGTTTCATTCCTTCTCGCTCGTCAATGATACTTCACAAAGGTTATACAGGAGCACGTGAGGACAAAGAACGCCGGTCGATCGTAGACAATATTCCACCTCGTTACCCCTGATCGTGCTACAGTAATCAAGGCAGCCCAAGGCAAGCGTGTCTACAGCATGACCTATGACTTGATGCTAAAAGCTTTGGTGCGGTTCTAGGCTACATATAAAGCGCCAATCGCCCTGTATCATGTATCCGTATTAGGGAATCTGAAAGACCATTGCCGGTTTCGTAGGTCTAACATTTCACTTTTAGCCGGGTACATTCGATAGATACTTTTTCATAAAATAAGTTCACACCTACAATATCATTAAACTTTCCGTAATGAATTCATCAAACCATGCACAGGATCACGGAATCACGTGACCATATTACCTTGACATACATGGTACCAATCCTGCTCGTGCTTTGTCAATTACGCATGTGCAGAGCTAAGTCTTTAAAACGTCGTTTGGACGCGGTAAGAGACAAATTTGAGTCTGCTAGCGTCATTAGTATCTGATTAAGTCCCTATAAATTCTTGATTATCCCATAAAACACTGGTTCGGCATGCTCACTTGATCATCATTCAAATGGTCTATATTGAAATGTCTTTTGGTTAATCAATTTAGTGATTATTGAACATAGAGACTTAATAGAAAACAACCTGTAATCTAATTCTCTATAATTAACCGCCATATTGGTCCACTGTAACACTCGACAAACATAGTCGAGTTATGTGCTCAATTTCACGGCGGAATCAAGCATCTTCGCTTTTATCCAGACAGATAGCGTTTTTAGTTAGTTGAATGTCTCTCGTCAGCGTTAAATCATGGTGGATGTGTGAAAGAAGACATAACTCCTGGTGTCATATTGTTCAGACTTCAGTTCGATTTAACTTTAATTTGAGGCGGGAGCGACGTTGAGAAAAAGAGGTACCGATTTGACTGTAATTTCGGCGGCAATAACAGCTATTTTACAAAGTCGTTTGGCTAATGGACACCTCGTTTGGTGTATTACAGAGTACAGTGGTTGTATACGGACTCATAATATCCTAACTCACTTAAACAAATGACGTATTAGTGTCGGAAACATTCCACAGAATTGTGTCCGCAGTTCCGAACTCATCACTGGACGTCCGACAAAAAAGCAAGTGTGCACCAATTTGACTCCGGGGCTGTAACAATCTCATACATAGAAATAGTGTCCACAGTTCTTCTTTGCTTCGCAGATTTTCTGGTTTCAGAACAAGCAAGGAAACAATACATGAGGCAAAACGGACCTGTATTGCTCACCTGGTTAATTCAGCAATTCAGTCACTTAAAAAAAGACAATTAATTTCTGAAATAATTTTCCCTATTGTGTCTCGGCCATGTGGTCAAATAGAAGTCAGATTCACCATTCATAAAATTTGCTTCAAACGAAACTAAGAGAATATCCTTGTATGGACGGAGGAGTTTTAAGAACTTACATTTACCCTATTGGGCCCCACATCTCTGATTTCTGACTCCTGGTTGATAAAGATTCATTTCAACTAGGCATACTTCAGACCAAATCGGAACAGAATCGAGATATTCTTACTGAAGAAGGCTTTTACATATTTCTTCTATTTCCACTATTGGCTCCGCCCCCGTCCCTATCAACCCTGCCCCCTCTCCCGTCCAGGAGGCCACTACTTATACAACATTGTTGATTCCTCTTCCCTCAATTTTGCTTCAGACCAAATTGAGACAGAATTCTGACAGAGGAAGAGGTATTTTTTTTAAAATCTTCTCTATTTCACTTGTTGGACCCCTACAGTAAAGGGATAAAAACTAAGCTATATTCCCCTATTGGGCCATGCCCTCCTGCATCAGGGGCCGTTACCAAGTTTTTGCACAAAATTAATTCAACTTCACTAGAGGATACTTCCCACCAATTTTAGAGTTTTCCTCTTATGGGCACCGCCCTTCCCGCCCAAGGGAGCGATGCCCACCATTTATACAAAACCGACTCCCATTTATTTACCAAAACATGGTTCAGACCAAACTGGAACAGAATTATGACATTTTTACAGA